AATCAAATGAAAGAATTCTCCCTCACTTTAAGACCCAGTGTAGTAAAGAGGCAAAATACTTCCTTAGAAAAGTAGGCAGCTCTTCTACCAGGACTTTTTCTAGGACTCCTCAGTGAACACTCTAGCTGGCATATATATCAGCTTGAGATGGTGACTTGAGCAGAAGTGGTAAGGTTTGTCCAGTAGGAACTCAGTCTGATTTGTGTTGATTTTGGTCAGGCGGCCCATTACCTTCCTCTGAACCAATGGTTACTGAGTGACAGGTCTGTCATGTTGGGGTCACTCAACTGGAAAGAGAAGGCATTCCAGTGTAGATTCGTTGGTGAGAGGCTGTGGATGTGTAACTTGACCAGAGCATCGGGAATGAAATTATGTGTAGATAGGTGGATTTTGGACAAGAGTCCACTCAGAAGCCAAGATGATTTTCATTCAGAAACAGGGGCATTTCCCCTTATAATACACATTGTTCCCATGGTTCTGTGATCTCCTCAGTTGGGAAGTTCCTTCCAATGACTGAGATTGCAACCCTTCCATGCCTGACCGTCTTGGGTGACTCTAGTCCATTTCTTCCCATAAGGTCCCCACAGGAGGTCTGCCCAGTGTGCTGGAGGCTTTCCTTGGTGAATGGTGAATTTTAGCTCAAGATATTGAGAAAAGAATGTCACCCCACCTTATTCCTAACCCCCAAAGACCAGTGACTTATTTTCCATTTTCTATCACTATCTTGGCTACAGAAAATAACTTTATTTTCCAAGCTGATGTGTCACGTTGGGCTTAAAATTTCTCAGAGTTGCTTTTGGAAAATGTTACATATTTACATTTCTTTGGTTTCTGCATTTCTCTTTTTCTTCCCACCCTTTGTGCATTTGTGACCAAGGTAACGCAACGCCTCCCTTCCTCAGGAGCATCTACTATCTTCATGCTTTCTCAAACTTCCAGCAATCACAGTTTCTCTTGGAGTGAATAAGGTGATTTATTTTCTTACTGTCTACAAACTGCCTCGCCTTCTGCTTTGCTTTGCATCTTTATTTTGTCCTCTTTATGGAAAAAAAAAAGACTCCTTAGGGCTCATTTCCACCTCCTCTATTGATGCATAGTATATTTTGTCATCTTTGAAAAGATCATGTGTTTCACCTTCTAAAATTGACAGCCTGGAGAGGAAGCAATTTACAAGAACTTGGGCTGTAAGTCACTTGAATGGCTGCTAGGTACACAGCAGGGCTCAGAATTTTTTTCTACACCTTGAGAGATAACCAGGTGTAGTGCAAAGAGTGCTGGACTAAAGAGTCAGAAGACTTGGATTTGGGTCCCATCTCTGCCATTCACCCACTGGGTGGCCTTGGGCAAGTGACTTCATTTCTATCAGCCTCACTTGCTTCCTCTGTAAGATGAGGATGATTGTATTTCCCCTGTGTAGTTCACAGGACAATTATGAGGAAAGCAGGAACTGGGAAAGGGCCTGTTTATCAAGATGGCATCCTTTGCCCAGATTTTTCCCCTGAGCACCCCATGTGGCCCTAGCACAATGCACTAAATGGCAATGAAAGGGATGGTAAGGTTTGTCGGCTTTATGCTTACCATGTTTTTTGCCAGTGCCATTTGCAGACACCCAAGTTCAACTTCCAGCATGAAAACTAGGTTAAAAGTTGAGTTTCCAAAAACCAAACAAGACTAGTTGTTGAGCTATGAAAATTATTGTTGAGCTCAGTCCTTTGTGTATTTGGTGGGAAATGGTAGTGCGTGTTGGAAGTCTTTCACCATGTGCCACCAGGTAGGTTGCAAGAACTTCAAATGCTCTAAGTATTTTTGCCTCACCATTGCAGAAAAATCTGAACTGTAGAAAAGCATCTGATTCATTATCATCCAGACCTTCGGTCAGATCTCTCCTTTTACGAACATTCTCAGATGAATCTAATGTATTGTAACAGGTACCTCCTCATACTAAAAAAAGTAGGATGGCTTTTCATGACGAACATTAACCCCATTAAGAGGAAAAAAAAATGAAAATGTTACTTATTTGGTTTCTGCTGTCAGTGTGATGCACTTTGTAGTCTTTGAGAAGCATAAAGATGAAGGCCTTGGAATACAGTGAGCAGTTTTTGAAAATGTGGTTGAGCCCTGGAAAGCGGAGGGGAGGAAAGTTCAGAGCTCCGAAAGGCAATTTGCAATTCATCCAGCATTCAGTAATCATTTCCCCTGTTCTTGGCACTGTCCTAGGTGCTGGGGAAACAAGGAAAAAATGTGGTTTTTCATTTAAAGACAGCCCTTCCCCTCATGTAGCTTATATTCTACTGAGCCAATTTAACCAGTGAGATACATTTGTCATGGTCTTTTCACCATTAAACTGTGCTTATTCCTAATTTATGTTGGTCTTGACATTTAATTTGTATTTATATGAAGATTTGGAAAGTGGAAAAATGCGTATTCCAAGATCACATCTATAGAATAACAAATTAATTTTAGCGTTGCATGCTTGTTAGAATTAGGGGATTACTGTTCAGTGTCTGTGCCTCCTCATACTGTTGGTCCTGTCTCCAAAGGTATGTTAAACGTCTTGGTAAATTACTCATTCTAAAAATGTAGCCAGATTAACTACTTTACCCTAATTATAGTTTTCTGTGTTTGGGGGCTTGGGATTTTTTTTAATGTCAAGTTTTATTCAAGCTTCAAGTCTCTGTGGTAAAAAAAACTTCCCAGCTATTCGGGGCAATACTGGCATAAACATTCTAGTGGGTTCTTTTCTACAAAACAGTATCGATTGGGCAACATCTGGCTGAATGGCTTAGCCCATAATATTGGGGCAGAATGAGTAAGTGCATGCTTTGCTACAAGCTCATCTTTTGAATTTGTTCCCTTTACCTTAAGATACATAAACTCCCTGGGGGAAATACTGGGGTGGGGAGGGCTACTCACAGTGCATCCTAGTTCATCCTGTATATTCACATTCATCTTATCATCTCATTACTGAGCTCTCCCCTTGCCTGCTTGTCAATGGGAGAACATCTACTGGCAGGTTAGGAGGTAGCCATCTATACCTAGTACTGAAACAAAATCTCGCTGTTACTTTTTTCCCCCCTGAATAAAACTGTAGGGCCACTTTGAGGATGGTATTTGAAAATCGACCTTATATTTTAGGTTGTACTGAGGAGAAAACTGGGCTAGGGGTCAGAAGACCTTGGACACAATTTCTTCCTTGGGCCCTTAAGGATCACATCATATCAACAATTCAATTAAATGAGTATTTAAAAAATGAAGTGGCCCTGTCCTCAGTGGAGTTTACGTTCTACTGGTCATCGATATGAAGATGCTTTCTAAATTAAAACATACCATTAGACAGATTTCCTTTTCCCATCATGCATCACACCATGTTGCCACTGAAAGCTACTACCACCTGGATGACCTCGTGCAAATGACTTCCCTTCCCTGACCCACAGCTTCCTCCTTTGTGAAATGAAGGGGTTGGATTAAGGGCCCTTCCAGCGCTAAATCCTATGAACTGAATGGTTCAACCCTCTCATTTTACAGAGGAGGAAACTGAGTCCCAAGGCTATGAACAGGCTCATCTCACTAATTGCCAAGAGCTAGAACCAAAACCTGGATCACCCAACTATCAACCCAGCATTCTTCCCACTGTACCAGTCTTGTCCTTTGAGTGAGATGGAAGTCCCCCCTCTGTTGGCCATTAATCTCTGTCATCTGCTGCTTTATTGGGAGGAGCAGACAGTTTCATTTGGCCCAAGTGCTGCTCTGGGACTCCTTTATCTTTTTGGAATGACTCGGCCACTGATTAGTTTTTTTCCCCCCTCTGGGATAGACTTGGCCTGCATTGTTTTCATTTAAGGCTATATCCCCCACAGAACTTCTTGGACCTTAACTTCCAAGTCAGGTGTTGAGGCTGCATAAGTAACCCAGACTTAGGCTGCCCTGGGATTTACTCCTCCGTTTGTATCCTGCTAGAATGAGAATGGATGAGCTGTGGTAGTATTTGTTATGTCTTGTTTTGTTTTCACAAAAGTTAATATGGTTGCTCTCTCTAGAAAGAGTGGCAGCATGGAGAAAGAGCACTGGATTTGATGTCAGAAGACTTGAGTTCAAATCCCATCTCTGCTGTTTATTCTCTGTGTGATCTTGAGCAAGTCACTTCACTGGGCCTCCATTTCCTCTTCTGTAAAAATGACCCAGTTGAACTAGATGACCTCTAAGGTCCCAGCATGCTTAAAATCTATGTGATCTCTGTCCTAGATTTGAGAGCTATCTCAGTGTCTTCCCAGCTGTTTGACCATAGGCCAGCTCCTTCCCCTCTTTGCCCGTACCTTCATCTTTCCTCTTCCAAAATGATAAAGAATCACAACGTTTGTAGTTCACTGGATCAAAGGTGTAGATTGAGAGGGTCTCAGAGAGATCAGCTAGCCATTAGGATCCTAGATCTTGAGCTGAAAGAACCTCAAAGGTCATCTAGTCCAAGCCCCTCATTTTACATGGGAAGTGACTGACGCCCAGAGGGGGAGGTGACTTGCCTAAGGTCACACCTAGGATCATAGGTCTGGAGCTGGAAGGCACCTCAGAGTCCATCCAGTCCATCCCAAACCCTTCATTTTACAGAGGAGGAAGCTGAGGCCCAGCCAAGGGAAGTGACTTGCGCAGGTCCACACAGATAGTAAGTGGCAGATCCCGGATTCTAACCCAGGTGCTCTGACTCCAGATCCACCCCGCCTTTCTTGGGTCAAAATTGTTAGGCAAACCTTGGAGCAGCCCAAGAGCAAAGTAAGTCTGAAGCTACTCAATCATGAATGACAGAGGGTTTATTGTCTTTACTTTTCCTCTCCTCTATTATTTTTCTCTTTATGTGAATAAAACTTGGCACTTTCTTAAGGCAGTACCATAAATCTCTTCACAAAATGTTCTATTTGATTGGCTTTTCCAACATGCCTACAAGTCGGCTGCGCGGGTTCATTTCAGGGGACCTTTGAAATAAGTATGTCTTTTGAAAAATTTTTCAGGCCTCGAATTTGGAGCTGCCTATGTTAGTGTCCTACAAGACTATTGGCAATGGTTACGTCTAAGACAAGATGCTGGAAGAGGCTGCTGCAAAAAATGTTATCATCTCAGGATACTTGAACTCATGCCTGTTTTCACTTCTGAGGCCCAGGAGGAAGGCCCTCTGTGAACCAAATGACTTTAAATCCTTAAATGATAACGCTGTTATTGTAAGCAGTCTTGCTCCCCTGAAGTATCATGGGTGGGGGGGTATTACTAGGGCAAAACCCTTGAAAGTCTAAGAAATGCATACCATCGAGATTAGCTAAAATTCGACTGTAACTCAACAGACTTTAAGACAAATGTCAAAATGGGTGCTTAAAACAAACAAAAAAAATCCTTAACTCAAGCTATGAGTTAAAGAACATGGAATTTAAATGCTGTAATGTAGGAATCATGTAATGGGAATGAATGCATTTTGCTGACATTACTTTTTTGCCTGGCAAAAGAAATAGCCTGTCTCAATCACTCGTTTTTGTTTTCTCCTGCTGAATGAGATAAATATTTAAGTCATCAAACTCCTCCAAAAGTAGTATATGAAAAGGTTGGAGTAAATGTTTTTCATTGTGAAATGTGTTGATTGCAAAACCCCTTCTGTGTATATCGGGGAAGCTGTTAAGTGTTCTCTGTTTGTGCATATGCCAAATCGTGTCCTGCTCTGACAAACTCGCTGGAAAAACATATATGTCAAACACCTCTGTGGAGAGAAGGTTAGCAGCAGATAATTCAGCCGAAGGAGGAAACTCGGTCCTTACCTTTTTCTGTTCTGCTGATCAAACACCACTCTGAGTGGTTTTATTAGATTTGAAAATGCTCCATCACTGTTTCATATCACATAAGGTTATTGAAAGTCATTTTGAAGCAAACAGAACACAAGTCATTGCTATGGACATGAGAGGAAGGTGGGTAAAAACTATATTTGCACAAAAAATTAATGTAATCATAACATTGTATGTTTTATGTTGAGAAGGAAGAAGTTTATGATGTCTGTTAGTAATGTAATCATAACATTGTATGTTTTATGTTGAGAAGGAAGAAGTTTATGATGTCTGTTAGAAACCTGCTGTCTGTGAATTAATGTCACACTAAGATTGCTGCTCAACCCCTGAGACCATGACGGAGTCACCATGAATAAGTGACTTTCTCCCTTCGCTCATCTGGCTCGAGTCATGGTAGACCCAGTTCCGTTGGCCTGTATGGAAGATGTAACCCCTATGAAAAGTTAGTAGAAAATGTGGAAATAAATGAGAACTATATACACTTTTTTTTTAACCAACCAACCAAATATGTATATATATATTTTTATAAAGTTGATTACATTTGATTTTTAAATTGAAACAGTCTTTTAGAAATATTTTCATGTCAGTTTCCAATTCTGTTCAATTTGCCATCAGGCATACCTATTATTGTTTGTAATGTCTTGTATCTTGGTTTAAAAATCTGATAGGTGCAATTTCTATTGATACATTTAACACGGTTTCTTCTATCGTTTTTGTCCATGTTTATGTGGAATCTTTTGTAAATGCTAGGACTGGTGCAATTTTGGTTATCGGACCCCATTCCAGTCTTGACTAATCATTTTTTCCTATTTTCCTAGGTGCTCATTCATCAGTGTTACATTTGTATATTTTGTCAGGTATAGTGCAATGCCTACCAAAATGTGCTACAAACAGAATCAGAAATGTTGAAATGAAGGACAAATGTTTGTCCTTTGGGGTTTGATTTTGACCTTCTTGTTGGGTAAGAGAAAGCAAGCCCCTTCTGAGGGCAGTGGGTACTCTTCATTAAGAGATCTGGATCTGGAGTTTAAGAGTACCTGGGTTAGAATCTGAGCTCTGCCACTTACTATCTGGGTGACCTTGGGCAAGTCCCTTCCCCTCTCTGATCCTGAGTTTACTTCTTCGTAAAGTGACAAATGGATTAGATGGCTTCCAAAACCCTTTCTAGCTTGAATCTCCCATTCTATGAACTGTGGACACTGTGAATACACATAACAGAGGGGAATGAAAGGTTTCATAAGTGCAGAACTGTTGTAGATATTTATACCAGTGTGGTTAAAAAACCCCAAAGCTAGAATACATCTCTATTTCTAGGGGCTTTAAGCAAGAATTTCAAGTCCCATTTTGAAAGTAAAGGAAAAGAAAGTTTGAAGCCATACTTCTGCCATAGATTATAGTCATGCATTCATTCAAACAGTATTTACTATGTGCAAGGCACATGTCATTTATCGTGTTGTATTGCAGCACACAGTTGGTAACAGTTCCACCATCATACATGCCTGTTGTAGGCATCTGTCTTTTTTTTTTTTTTTTGCAGATTTTATTAACGAATCAAAAGAGCCCAGCATAGGGTCACCATTGCGGGGTAGGGGAGGCAAAAAACAAAAGTATGGGAAGAATGCTGCCTAGTGTTGCTAGCAATAGTTTGCAGCTCTTTAGCCATTCTATTTAAGCCATGCTGGCAGGAAGGGAAAGGCATGATGGAATGTGCTACCCTGTATTTGCATAATTTGGAATGATCCGAAGTAGAATTTCTGTGTTAAGTTGTTCAGAATTGTTCTCCAAAGTAGGAAGATGGGATACACTGAGCGAAGACCATGTATTCCTTCGATACCAACTACATTCACACCAGCGAGATGTAAAACTGCAAAAATCCTCAAGGTGCTTAGCTGTGACATAGGCTGCTTATTGTGCCCCTTATCGTATATTGATGTGTAAGTCTCGTGCATTGTGCAGCTTGCAAAGGTGGAACTCCGATATCATGAGGTTTTTTTTTCCACCTAAGCAATTTTATACATTCACATGGTGGCTTTCTATAACAGAGATTGAATGTGAATGCTACTTTTTATGAATGCAAATTGTCTTTTTCATTACCAAAATTTTTCGTTTGATGTAATCAATAAACTTTGGTATGATCTCATTAACTTCTTGGCCTGGTTGTTTTTTAAAGATGCCAAGTTGGCAGCAGAATTGTCTGGGAGCTTAATTAATTTTCTTCTGTTTGGGGAGAAGAAAATAAGAATATTTCATTCCCCTGCAAGGTCCTACATATAGCTGATACATAATGATAATAAATAACAATAATAATGAAACAGGAAGAAGTCTGTATCATCCCTGATATCCTACTACTGGAGTTGTCCTGAAGACATTTTCATCTGGCCAATAGAAAATTAGCCTGTATTCTCACGTGTCAGTTTGATTACCACCCCTCCACCCCCACCCAACTTCTACCCCTCACCCAATCTAGTCAATTTATCCAACTGTGAAATTTTGCCAGATACTGAAACGTAAAAGAATAGTAACAAGGTGGCGACTTGTCCTTCGATGATTTCTATCTGCATTCCATGGAAGGTGAAGAAGAGAAGCATAAAACAATAGCTCCCCATTCCATATATATCTACATGATGTTCTACGGTTTGAAAAGTGCTTTACATCCATGATCTCGTTAATTATTACCAATAAGTTTTGCAAAGTGTTTATATGCATGGTCTTATTTAACACCCAAAACGATAACAGCTCACATTTAGAGTATTTTATGGTTTGCAAAAAGCACTTTACATGATACATGAGCTCGTTAATTCTCAGTAATAACAGGCGCTTAAATTGCACTTTAAGTTTTGCAAAGTGTTTCCATGCATGATCATCTTTAGCAACAAAAATAATAACAGCTGACATTCATGGAGCACTTTTAGGATTTGCAAAGAGCACTTTATATGCATGATCTCACAACAAGCCTGTGTGAGGTGTAAGTGCTGTTATTATTCCCATTTTATAAGTGAGGAAACTAAGGCCCCTGAAGAAGTGAAGCCATCTCCTCAGGTTCATGAAGATTATTGTCTGAGGCAGAACGTCAACCAGCTCTTCCTGGGTCTAAGCCTGGTGCTTTGTTTACTATACCACATACCATTACTTTAAAATATATCCCTTTTTTTTTTATTGTTTTGTATAAGCTATACTCCCCATGTTATCATTATTGTGAATCTAGGCCTAATGTTAGAACAATTACAACTTCCCTGGGCCTGCAGGCATCACCTTGGCCCTGGAAATGTGCCTAGAACCTGATCCCAGGCAGAGAAAACACAAGAGTGTGGAGGTTAACACCACCTGGGTTAAGCTGAGCTTGTGCCAAGTTCCCCCTTTGCCTAGAGACTCTGCTTAAACTGAAACTCCCACCACCCATCAAGAGAAAAAGTTTCTCAACCCTAATAGAAGTTCCATCTGTTTAGTGCAGATGCTTTGTGCCTGCTGTCACATCCCTAGAGGTTGGGACATTCTTGGGGCCAGAATTATGGCAAACAGCTGTGACTTTTTAGGGTTACTCACTAGAGAATAACTTCATCTCCTTATAATCCCTCAGCATAACCTGTGCTAGTAAGCTCATACCTGGCATGTGTCATTGTATCAGATCAGGGGAATCCTTTGAACCTAGGAACGTGGCACCCATTGGATAATAGGGAGAAGGGGAAGAAATGTGTGATAAATCAATATGGGGACATTCAATAAGAGACAGCTATGTTATTTTTTTAAAACATATTTCTATATTAGTCATGTTGTGAAAGAAGAATCAGAATAAAAGGGAAAAACCAGGAGAAAGAAAATAGTGTGCTTTGATCTGCATTTAGACAGTTCTTTCTCCGGATGTGGATTAGCATTTTCTATCATGAGTCTTTTGGAATTGTCTTAGATCATTGCATTGCTGAGAAGAGCTAAGTCTATCAGAGCTGATCATCACACAGTGCTGTTTTTACTGTGCACAATGTTCTCCTGGTTCTGCTCACTTCATTCAGCATCAGTTCATTTAAGTCTTTCCAGATTTTTCTGAAATCATCCTGCTTGTCATTCCTTATAACACGATAATATTCCATTACAATCACATACCACAACTTGTTCAGCCATTCCCCAGTTGATGGGCATCCCCTCAGTTTCCAATTCTTATCCACCACAAAAAGAGCTGCTAAGTAATTTTGTACAAATAGGTTCTTTTCCCTTTTTAAAAAATCTGGGATACAAACCTAGCTGTGGTATTGCTAGGGCATGTACAGCTCAAAGAATATGCACAGTTTTGAACTTGTTTTTTTAAAAAATATATTTTTTTAAGGCAATTGGGGTTAAGTGACTTGCCCAGGATCACACAGCTAGTGTCAAATATTTGGTCTGAGGCCAGATTTGAACTCAGGTCCTCCTGATTTAAGGGCTAGTGCTCTATCCACTGCACCACCCAGCTGCCCCTTAAAAACTCTTTTGACAACTATTTCAATATCATTGCTTTCCTTTTCAGTCTTCTGTATTTTATTTTATGCATTTAAAAGCATTGTGCTGAGAAGGAATCCATAGGCTTTACCAGGGGACAAAGGGGTCTACAACATGAAAGATGCTCTATGATCTGTACTAGTGGAGGCTATTCAGGGAAAACACCTTTGGCATATTTGATACTTTGCTCCCAGTCCTCCAGTTACACTCTGCTCTGATGGATAACTTTGATTGCAGAGGTGAATCTGAATTCACCCAGTGGAGTCGAGGCTTTGATAGGTAACCAAGTTGGGGAGGCTTTGAGTACAGACCTGTCAGGCTATGTGGCTCTGTCACATGAAGAACAGGTTGCTTAAGCTCAAGAGGCTCATCACCAGAGGGCAGGAAATCAGCTGATGAATCTCCCCATCCTGAGGATTCATGAAGATGGTTCAGGAAGGTAGAGGACAGGGGTTGTGGTCCTCTAGGTCCTCAAGTCTTGAACTCAAACTTCACAGAACAAATCCCCTTAATAAAAGGATTTGTTCAATAAAATTTGGACTCAGTCAAAAGGCCGTACCCCAGGACCTAGAGGGCCACATGTGGCCTCCAGACCACAGGTTCCCCACCCCTGGTATAGAAGGTTGTGAATCCAAAGTCAGTTTTTTTTTTCTCTTACAAACCCCATGAGACAAGTATTGAAGATAGTACTGGTAATAGTAAAATAGTACCCCTATTTTACAGCTTATGAAATCTTTAGATCTAGAGATTTTAGAGCTAGAAGGCACTTCATAGGTCACCAAATCCAACTCCCTATTTACAGATGAGGAAACAGGCACAGAGAGGTCAAGTGACTTGCCCAAGGTCACACATAGGCTCATAAGATCATAGGTTTAGAGCAAAAAAGCACCTCAGAAGCCATCTAATGCAACTCTCATTTTTACAGATGAGGAAATTGAGACCTAGGGAGGTTAAGCCTAGAAAAATGTAACCCATCTCAAAATGTATACATTATAATGCATCCATAATCAAGGATAGTAAAGAAAGAATATCTTTGTTGTATACCTGCCCTACTTCAGATAAGTAACATACATTTTATAAACCAGGCAAGCAAGCAAGAAACAAACTGTGTGCCAGGAACTGTGATAAACCCCAGAAATACAAATACAAACAAAAAGAAAGACAGTCCCTGCTCTCCAGGAGTTTATACTCTAATGGAGGAACACAACACACCCAAGGGTGCTGAAAATTGGGAGGGGGGAGGAGCCTGTCAGGGGATGGAGGTGTCGAAGTCAAGAGGGTCAAAAGCAGATGGGAGGAGAATGAAGGATGGCTGGCCTGGACCCCTCCCCAAATGGAGGCCCCAAGAAGAACTCACCAAAGAGAGAAGGGGGCTGGCTTTATGGAGGGACAGTCTGGGGTGAGAAGGCCAAGGAGGCATGGAAATTCTAGAGAGTAATAAGCAGAACCTAAAGAGGAAACCACTGCATATGAATTCATATCCCAGTGTCTCTGATGAGGAGAAATCAAAACTGCAATGATTTTGCTATTCCTGTAAAATGAATGAATGAGGAAACTGAGGCATAGAGATTTGAAGAGATTTGCTCAAGGTCACATCTTGTGGCTGAACTGACACAGACTGAGATTGTTGGAGTCCCAGTACATGTTCAGGAGATTTTTTTAAAAATATTATATCTTTTGTTTTTATATTATCTCTGTTTTTGAATACATCTCTCAGGCTCCTTCCTCCTTCCCAGTGAGCCAGTCCTTGTAATAAAGAAACAGGAAGTGAAAAAGACAAGTATATGCCCTTTTTACTAGACCAAGCTGTCTCTTGAACATGGATAAAAAGAACAATTAAAATAAGAGATATGTATTGACAAAGCACAAGGATTGTGCCAGCCTCTTAGATTGAGACCCTAGTAACTAGTATGCAGGAGCATCATTGATTGATGCTGACCAGAAGTATGGCCCAATACGTGCAATTAGATGGTAAGAGGCCAGAGTGGATGGGCAGAGGCAAAATGGTGGAGAAAAGGCAGGGACTTGGGTGAACTCTCCCAAATTCAAATATTACCTCAAAATGAATTCTGGAGCAGCAGAACCAAAAAAAGGACAGGGTGAAACAATTTTCCAGTCCAAGACAACTAAGAAGCTTGGCAAGAAAAGTCTGTAACACGGGGATAAGAGCTGGAGCACAGGCCAGTCAGTGCAGGCCATGCCCCAGCAAGCCAACATGGGTGGGGCTGTCCAGAGGGGCAGTGTGAATGAAGCAGCCATCTGGCAGCTCCTTCTGGGGAACTCTCAGTCCATAGAAGATAAAAGGGTCATACAACTGGTCAGAAGATTACAGGGGTTCCCTTTTTTGGCACTGGATGCAGGACTCTGTTACATTGCCCATTCGAGGGTCTGAGTTCCAGTTCCATGGTGAGGAGGAACTCTAGCACACCAGAGCTTGGAGCCTCAGGGGAGTGGGGACCCTGGTCACAGTTCTAGGGCACAAAAGAATGCTTGAAGTCACTCACACACCAGAGCATAGGCCAGGAAAATGATAAACACAGCTCTCTTTAGATCATATCACCTTGGAAGAACTGAAAACTTATAGGACTCCCATTCCCACAGGACTAGCCCTGAAAACAGCTCCACAAAAAACCTGAAGCTTAGGACAGCACCACCTCCACCCAGGGAGCAGAGC